TCATTAACGCTTAATATAGCTAAGATTATTACACTTTTTAAGGGCGAATTAAACTATAATTATAAGAATAAACTAAAAACTTTTATACTTTCTTCTTATTAACCTTTAAAGTAAAGTAATTAAATACTTAAGAGGTAGCCTTATAACTTTACCTTTACTTATCTTATCTTATAATATAATAGTAACCTAGTTTTACGCTATATACCTTTTAGAGATTACTTATATTACCTACTTTCTTATTAAAATACTTACTTAAATAAATAATTTACACGTATCTTTAAGGTAAACCTTCTCTTTTATAACCAGAGAAAAAATATTACTAACTCCACTAAAATCTATTAAATTTTATCCTTAAATTAAGCTAGCGAGTAGCTATAGCACTTAAGCTATCTTAAATAATATTATACTAGAATTACTCTTTGTATTTACGCTACTAGTACCCTATAGTTTAAGACCTTAAAGCCTTAACCGTTTCCTAGACTAAGAAATTTCTTAGTTACTTAGGTAGGCTAAGAAATAAAGATATATTACCCTTTAAAATTACAAATAAAGTTAAGTAAATTTTATCTTTAAATGAAGTTACTTAATTAAAAGACTCTTATATTATTATTACTCTTTAGTATAAATTAATAATATAATTTATTATTAACCTATTTTACTAGACCTTACTTTAATTATATTACGTACGCTAAAAATAAGCTATTAATAAGTTTACTTTTATACTTAAGTTAACGTAAGTATTAAATTAAAGTTATAATTCTTTTCTTACTTTATTCTCTTAATAATAATTCTATAATATATAACTTCTTCTTATTAAGTATACCTAAAAAACTAACTTAAGCCTTTACTTTATTTAAGAAACCTACTTAAAAATACTCTCTTTAATTATAAAATATTATAGTCTCCCTCTTAAATATATTAAAAGATATCTCTACTAAAAGTAACCTATTAGGTTCTCTTATAGAACCTAAAGGATTTTACACTCTAATAAACGTAATAAAGTTACGTTTAATTACGAAAAGAGCGGATATTTATTATATTAATAACTTATTATAAAAGTAAATTTAAACTTAATAAACTTTTACCTTAAGCTTTTAATTAGCTTCTTTTATTCTATTATTAAATAACTTAATACCCTTAAATAGCTTCTTATTACTTACTCTTATTTTATTATTAGGAAGAATAATTAACTTAATTAATAATAAAACCCCTTTAAAAGCTTTAAGTAAATAATGTTAGCCTATTAATATTAGTTTCTTAATAAAGAAACCTATACGCCTTTTAAGACCCTTTAAACCTTCTTCTCTTTAAGGCTCTCTTTAATAATAAATTAAACCTTATACGTAAGTATAATACATGCGTAATATTACTCTTCTTTACCTTACTAAGAATAAGATAAATTTTAAATAGTATACTCTTCTTTAAGCTTATATTACTAATAATGTAATTAAACTCGCTTATATAATTAAATATATAATACT